GCTAGGTGGTGCAGTGGATGGAGCGTTGGACCTAAAAGTCAGGAAGAGCTGAGTTCCAATCCTGCCTCAGTGATTTCCCAGCTACATGACCCTGGGCATGTCACTGAATCGCTATCTGTCTCACTTACCTTATCTATAAAATGGGGATGATAATCTAGTAGTTTCCTCTGAAGATCATTGTGAGGATAAAATGAAATAATATTTGTCAAGTGCTTTGCAAACCTTGAAGTGTTATATGTTAGCTATAATTATTTCTCCCTTGGCAATCTCATTCACTATCACAGCTTCAGCTCTATCAGATTTACACTTTTAATCCTGAGCTTTCCCTGGAGCTCCAGAATTCCATCTCCAGCTGCCCACAAGGCATAAAAAAAGATTAAGGCACTTTTTGGAGACCAAATGGATGGCTATCTAGTGTGTCTAAATGACAAATGTCTCTGGATGACAGCTTGTCAGGTATGTTATAGTGGGAATACCTTTCAGGCATGTTTTGGCCACTGGGGGTCCCTTCCAACTCTAGAAATTTTGTATATTTCTTCTGTGGCGATGAGATTTGAGGGGAGGGGCAAACGGAAGTCACTGGGAGAGTAGGCACAGGACCTTGTTGTGCCACCTGTGAAGATATAATCCTTCTTGGGACATTTATTTTGAGGGGGAAGAACGAGATGGTATCAGACAGCAGAGTAGGCGAGGGATAGAGTACGACATTTTCTACCAGGGCACCTGGATTCAAATCCCAGACCACTACCTGTGGGATCATGGACAAATATTTTCTCCTTTTTGGCCTTCAGTTTCATCATTTGCAAAGTGGCAATGTGGTGGTGGTGATGGGAGGGACTGGAATAAATCCCTTCCAGTTCCAAATCGTATGAATTTATAATAATTCTCCATGCTGCCCTGGTGAGAGAGGTTATGGGTGGAAATATCCCCCATGTTCTATTTTCCTCACAGGATTGTTGTGAAAAAGGTATTTTGTAAACCTTAGGATCATGGGATTATCGATTTAGAGCTGAAAGGAACCCCAGTGGTCATCTAGTCCAGCCCCTTCTTTTTTTTGGACACTTAGGGAAGCCAAGTGACTTTCCTTAAATCACCATATGGTGACACAGTGGAGAGTGTTGGATTTTGAGTCAGGAGGACCTAGGTTTGAATCTCATCTCTGCTATTGACTAGCTCTGTGACCCTGGAGAAGTCACTTATCATCTCTGAGCCTCAGTCTCCTAATCTGTAAAATGGGGATAACAATAGCACCAACTTCACAGGGTTGCTGTTAGGATTAAATGAGATCATAGAAATAAAATAAAAACATTAAAGTTTCAATAATGCTATCATTATTGAATTACCAATAATTATCAATAATGATAATTATTATTTTCATTATTAGTTATTATTATCTCCAATGATGAGACCTGAGTTTGAATCCTACTAACTGTGTGACCTTGGGCAAGTCCCTTCTCTCTGGCCTTTAATTTTTCCCTTTCCAAAATGAGGGAGTTTGATTAGGTGAGCTGAAAGTCCCTTCTGACTTGGAATCATACTCTTCCATATAAATGTGAATTATTATTATGATGTCCATCATTCCAGCAGAATGATATTAATGGGGCAAGATTTTCCTCTATGACTCTCTCCCATAGCAGTTAATGGGTGAACTGCTTCCCAGTGTCCCACTTCCTGGGTGGAAGGAGTTAGTCTTATGTAGAGGCTACTCAAGAGCTGGTCTTAATTACTTAGGTAGGTAGATGAGGAGTTTTTTTAAGCTAAAATGAATGAATGAACCTGTACCCAGGTATTGACTCATCTCATTAGTATCAGAAATGCAAACATCTTACTCCCAAAAATGAATCACAAGCCTTGAAGGTAAGTAGAGCCTGGGCCTAGAACACCCAATGCAAATTAGAACAGTTCAAAAGCAAACGTTTTAGTTATCTTGGAGGGAAAACAGAGTTGGCAGGGTCCTGTACTCTAAAGATCCCTGCTTCATTCCGGAGTTTGAGCAGCTGGTGCTTTAGGGAAACTTGATCTAATGCAAGAGGTCTTGGGAATCAAGGTTTGCTCTCAATCTGCCACCCCATCTGAGACTTTCATCATTTATAAAATGAGGTTGGGCTGGCAGATAGGACTAGACATTCCTCCCACCTCGGACATCCAAGATTCTAAGGAAGGCCTGGAATTAAATCCTGCCTCAGACATTTACAGTGTGACTCTTGGCTAGTCACTCAATTTCTACCTTAAGTGAGAGGTAGGGGTAGAGTTGATGGACGCAAAAGTTCCTTCTGGCTCTAAATGTATGATACTACGGTCCTCACCAATTTTGATTTTCTATGTTCTCAGGTTCCTTCCTTCTCCCCCCCCCCCGGTAGGATTGGGGAATAAGTTGGGATCAAATTGATTGGGATCAAATAAGAAATAGTATTGTGGATGGGGTTGGGGTAGGGATAGGACCATAGTAACTAACAATGGAGAGAAGGCAACTTTGCTCAATTCTTATTTGCCTCTGTTTTCTCTGCCAAGGAGAACAACTTTGGACTGCAAAAGAAAGAACTCAGGTGAGTCTTGAGCTACAGCGGAGTCCGAGGGGAGGCGGTGAAAGGTAGGGCTTTTGATTGTGACAGTACTTCCGAATTGTGCAGTGCTTTGCCATCTCATAAGGGTCTTTTACATACCTTATCTCATTTGCTATTTACCATGGCCTTGTGAGGTTGGCAGGGTAGTGATTATCATTTCCATTCTATAAATGAGTAGGGAAGTTGTTTACCCAAGTTTACACAGTGAATTTGTGGTCAAGCTCTGTTCCTATTTCATACTCTGAAGCCTCCTGGGGTGCGCCATGGCAGGGTCCAGGGAGCTATGGGTAGGATAAAGCCTAAGTGAGTGGGAGGGTGGAGGTATCAGCAGAGAGAAGAGGGCCCTGAAGCCTAGCTTTGCCAGACTGTCCTAGATGTCTCCAGGGCTGTGACTCACAAGTCAGTGAACAGCCTGGGCAGAAATACACTGGGAATGGTATCCCTCCCACAGGAAGTGGTCCAGGTTCACTCCTTGGCCTTGTATGGTCAAGCCTGGCCTGGGGAAAGACAAATGTCCAGTGCATTCTCTGAGGTAGAATCTGATTGCTGACTGAGCTAATGAGTGTTTCGGGAGGGCATGGGCAGGGGAGCTAGAACTGAAGGCAGAGCCAACCATAGACCATTCACTTTCAAGACGCCATCTCTGACTGACTTCCAACTCCCTGAGCCTGGCTCCCCAACTGAGAAACCCCAGTTTATTATGAGAGCCCAGCTTTGTGGCTACATGGTGTCCCCATTTCCTGTCACTTCACTGGGTCATGGGGCAATGGCTGAGATGGCCAGACAGGCTCACAAAGACAGTTTAAGGTTCAGATGGTCAGATTTCTCCTCACAAGTCTCTGGGGACAAGGCCCAGCTGTCCAGTGAAAAAGGGTAAGGTAATGGGAGAACACAGCACAGAGAAATATGAGGCACCTAACTGGGAATACTGATGTAGTCAAATTATAATAACTCAACTTCTGCAGGACCTTAAAGTTTATGAAGGACTTTAAAATAGCCTTGTGAGGTAATCGGTACAAGAAATATCATCCCCATTTTACAGATGAGGGAATAAAGGCTCACTGAGGGGGAAGCATCTTGGCAGAGGTCACATGATTTATAAATGACCTGGATGTGAGCACAGGTGTCCTGAAACTGCCCCTGCCACCCAATCAGCTTAAAAAAAGACAGTTTTAACCCATTGGTCTCCCTGGGGCCCATCAAGGTATAATGATGCAGTTAATACCTTCCTGGGTTCTCTGCCACCAAGGGCATACATACTTTAGCTCCCATCTGCCTTTCCAGCCTTGACTCACATTGCCTCCTTCCACTCATTCTCTGTTCCAGCTAAACTGGACTTCTTGCCACTCCCTGCCCTTGTCCTGCCAGCTTCTAAATCTCCGTATTTGCACATACTGATCCCCACCCCACCCCTTACCTGGGATAGTCTCTCTGCTTCATTTCCCATTCTTTGAAATCTTTTCTACTTTCAAGTCCCAGCTTCTATACTTTTTCCTCCAAGATGCCTCCTCGATTCTCCTTGCTAGAGTTATACCTCTCTCCTTGAATCTATCAGGGGTCATTGTATTTTATCACATCCGAGCCTATTATATATACCATAGTTATTTATATACATATCTCACTCCTCCTATTAGACTATAAGTTCCTTGAAGGAAAGGGTTGTATATGATTTCATCTTTGTATTTTTGGAACCTATCAAAGAGCTTTGCACATAATGCTTATTCATTCAAAAATGATTTATTAATGCTAAATATATATTAAATTGAATCATGATTTTATAGATGGGGAAATCAAATTGGGAGGGGGTGTTGTATAACCATTTGTCAGGGGATTCTTATTCAGGTGGACTAGATCTGAAGCTCTTAACCTGGGGTATGTGAACTTGGGTAGAAAAAAAATCCCACATTTTAATTTTTACTATAATTTCTAACTGAAATTTATGAATGAAACAAATATTATTCTGAGAAGGAACCTCTACGCATTACCAGACTGCCAAGGGGGTCCATGACACAAAAAAGGTTAAGATCTCCCCCGTAGACTAGAGGATCTCTGAAGTTCCTTCATGATTCTGTGAAACTGAGACCCAGAGAGCCTGAGTGATTGAGACATGTCTTAAATTTAGGTCACAAAATCCTAGACTGGCAGAGCTGAAAGGGATGTTCAAGATGATCTAGTTTAGCCCCTTCATTTCATAAATTGCGAAACTGAGGCTAGATTAACTGATTTTCTCAGGGTCACATAGGTAGAAAGTGGTAGAATCAGAACCCAGGGCTCTTGGTAACTAGTTCAGTGTGTTTTTCATAATACCATACTGTGTCCTGCACAGGTTAAGAGGGGAACAGATTGACTTCATCTGACATGAAAGACTCACTGAAAGCCTTCTTTCACAGCACTGGGGTTGTCTGAGTCACAAGTGCCCAAACCCAGGAAGATACCTCATAGTCGTAGAGGAAGCCCTGGTTTCCTGATGAGGAGAATCTTCAGGGCTCCTTTCATGTCCTTGTTCCTTAGGCTGTAGATGAAAGGGTTCAGCATAGGAGTGACCACAGTGTACATCATGGCTGCTACTGTGTCCTCTTGGGCTGTGCGGGTGGATGTGGGGCTGAAGTACACTCCAATGAGTGTTCCGTAGAACAGAGAAACCACGGCAAGGTGGGAACCGCAGGTAGAGAAAGCTTTCCACTTTCCACCCGCAGATGGGACCCTCAGCACGGCCATGAAAATGCGAGTATAGGAGATCAGGATGCCAATGAATGGGGTGATGATTGGCAGTGCTCCCACTGTGTAGACCATCAGGTCATTGATGAAGGTGTCTGAGCAAGCCAACTTCAGCAAGGGACTGAGGTCACAGAAGAAATGAGGGATTTCATTGTGGCCACAGAATGAGAGTGGGGTCAGCAAGGCGGCGTGGGTTAGAGCATTAATGAAGGCTGAGAACCAGGATACCATGAGCAGAAGGACACAGACCCTCAGAGTCATGACTGTGCTGTAGTGGAGTGGGGCACAGATAGCCACATAGCGGTCATAAGCCATGGCAGTGAGGAGGAAACTGTCGATCCCTGCGAACCAGATGAAGAAGAACACTTGTGTCAGGCACCCAGAGTATGGAATCATCTTATTCCCGGATACATGATTTGCCAGCATTTTGGGTACAGTGGTGGATGTGAAGCAGATGTCAACCAGGGACAAGTTGCTAAGGAAGAAGTACATGGGAGTGTGGAGATGAGAGTCAGTTCTGATGGCCAGTATGATGAGCAGGTTCCCTAGCCCTGTGATCAGGTACATGAACAGGAATACCAGGAACAGAATCCTCTCCTGCTCTGGCTGGTCTGAAAGGCCCAGAAGGATGAACTCAGAGATTCTAGAATGATTTCCTTCTTCCATAGGTCTACTGGGGAGTACACGCAGGAAGGAGGTGAAAAAAGAATTTAAAACATTTAATTGAACAATGTTCTCATGGATGATGTATTAGTTTTAATTAATTAAGTTTCAATCAATCAATCAATCAGCATTTTTTTTTTTTTGGCAAGGCAATGGGGTTAAGTGACTTGCCCAGGGTTACATAACTGCTAAGTGTCAAGTGTCTGAGACTGGATTTGAACTCAGGTCTTCCTGACTCCAGGGCTGGTGCTCTATCCACTGCACCACCTAGCTACCTCCAAAAGGATTTATTAAGCACCTATTATATGCCAGCCACTGGCACAGAAACAAGAAATGAAACAGTCCTTGCTCTCAGGGAATTGACATTGTTTTAGCAGAGACAAATTATTCATAATACACATATATGTTTATATAGATGAATAAAAATAAATGTAGGTGTTTAGTTTAATATAAGGTAGTTCGGGAGGCAGGGTTCTAGAAGTTGGAAGAAAAGCTTTGTGTAGAAGATGCAGAGCAGGGTCTTGAAAGAAGCAAGTGATTCTATGGGGCAAAGGTGAGGAGATAGTGCATTCCAGGACAGTGAAGACACAGAGGGGAAATTGAGAGCCTTACTAAAAGGGAAGGTGAGTTTGGCTGGACTGTAGAATGTAGTAAAGGGAATAATGTATGATGATGCTGGAAAGATAGTCTTATGTCAAGTTGTGAAGGTCTTTTAATGTCAAACAGAGGATTTATATTTTACCTTAGTGTAAGAGGTATGGAGTATGCTTAGCTTGGGAAGTACCTAGGTGGCTCAGTGGATAGAGCACTAGGCTTGGAGTCTGGAAGGCCTGAATTCAAATCCAGCTTCAGATACTAGCTGGGTGACCCTGGATAAGTCACTTAACCTCAGTTTGCTTTAATCCCCTGGAGAAGAAAACAACAAACTACTCTAGTATCTTTGCCAAGAAAACCCCATGGGCAGTATTGGTGTGCTACGGTCCATAGAGTCATGAAGAGTTAGACATGACTGAACAATAACAACAATCAGATTTCTCCTTCCTGGGGGGAATGGACCTCCAAAGCACGTCTGGCTCCAGTCCAATGCATGGAATTTTGGGATCCAGTTTATGGCTAGGGGTGATGGAAGAACTTGATTTGTGTGTTAATAAAAAGGTTTTTAATTGGATGCAGATCCAGAAGAACTGATGCCTCGGGTGTTGCAGAGCCAAAACTGAGTATGCAAAAGGGGCAGCTGTCTCCTATGTCAATGTTTTTTCTTTGTGTTTGTAAGTGAGTAGGGGTACTTTGAGTTGCCCTGCTACAAGGCAGAAGGAATTTCCTGTCTTTTGTCTAACTAAAGTTAGATATGAACACGCGACTCAATGTGACTCCCTCTGTCTCTTTTGTGCTTGCTTACTTGAAATGACCGGGCACTCTAAGATAGATGTGCACGTACAATGATTTTGTGAATATTTCAAGGTCTTCCCATCCTTTAGGCATTCATACATAAAGGTGGAGGAAAAAAGTCACAGCAATCCCAGACCAGTAGAGCAACATAGCCAAGCAGAACTCTGGCTCTTCAGAGGAACACTTGGTCCAGCAGAGCAGCCTCATCCAACAAAATATTGACCTGTTCCATAGAGATGTCATACCCTTTAAGGAGCCGGCATTGGAGCAACTCATCCCTCACTGAAGCCACAAGCCACAGTGAACTTAATGGGAATTCAAGGCCAAAAAAGACTTCTAAGACCATTCCCTAATTTTATGCCTTTATATCATTGTACTTCAACTTAATGTCTATGCTCCCTAGAGACTCCATGTATATTTGTGGGACAGTGTGCCCTATGTTTCTGGGGGAAATGTTTTGTAGCAGCTACCTTTACTATGTTCTTGTTAATTTGGTTAGTCATGTCCAACTTTTCATGACCACAGGGTTTTATTTCATTTTTTTTTTTTGCAAATATAATAGGGTGGCCTCCATTTTACAGTTGAGGGAGGCAAACAGGGGTTAAGTGACTTGCCTAGGGTCACATAGCTAGTAGGTGTCTGAAGCTGCATTTGAATACAGGTCCTCCTGATTCCAGGCCCAGTGCTCTATCCGCTGAACTATGTAGCTGCCTCCTGGAAGCATTGCTAGGGATCATGAAATCCTGGGCAATAAACTGAAGACCTTAATGGCACAGGTGGTGTTTTTATGGGTACTGCCTATTTATAATGAGGTCTAAAAACAGAAAGGTGACATTGGGATATATACTACTGGTTAAGATGGTGTCTACTAATGGCATTTGGATTCCTAAACCAAGATTATGTATGATATGATATAACATGACATGATATGATATAATATAATAAATTAATATAACATAACATAAAACGTAATGTAACGTAATATAATATAATATAATATGATATAATATGATATAATATGATATAATATGATATGATATGATATGATATGATATGATACAATAAGATATAATATGATATAATATGATATAGTATAATATAATATAATGTAATATAATATAATATAACATAACATCATATGATATGATATGTTATGATATATATCATATGACATGATGTCATATTTAGACATGATGGGCTCTTGGCTATGGACATAGTGTGCCTAATAGGAACTAATATAATATATATTTGCTCAGAGTCTAGCAAATCTGGTCCAGAGGGCTTTAGACTGAAAATGGAAAATGGAATTTGCCTTGGCTAAAGTATTATACTGATAGGTCATTATGATATAGAAGTAAGCATGGGTTCCAAAGTTGTTAACTAGGAGGAGGTGACCAGGGCTTTTTCCCAGGATGCCAACTTTTAGAGGGCACTTACATTTTTTTCAGTAGTGTAGAAACAACTGAGACTAGCACCTAGGACACAAGAATGGTTAAAATAGAACACTACCAGGCAGCTTTGCTTCCTTTCCTTTGGCTATCTCATTCCAATTGAGCTTCCCCCAACTCTACATATTCCAGCTTTTCAAATGAATTTTCTTTTAAAAAGTTTTTTTTAAAGTTTTTGAATGAATAAAATCAATGAAGCAGCATCTATGCTGGGTAGTTTGCTCAGCTGGGTTTCCTGGGTTTGTTTCTCTTCATACTTCAACTTCTGACTGCCAGGGTTAACTGTCCCTTGATGCCATACCTAGCTCTCTTTTCTGCTGCCATTTATTCTTCTTAGAGCTATTTCTTTCTTTCCTTTTTTTTTTGCCTTTTGGCTAGGCAATTGGGATTAAATGACTTGCCCGTGGTCACACAGCTAGTAAGTGTCAGAGGTCAGATTTGAACTCAGGTCCTCCTGACTCCAAGGCTGGAGCTCTGTCCACTGCATCACCTAGCTGTCCCAGAACTACTACTGACTATCTATCTTTTGGCCTGCTCCCTTATTGCATGTGGTGTCTCCTATTGGGTGAATAGCTTTGCTGGCTGATGGTGTGGAGGGGAAGAGAGATAAAAACTGTCCTCTTGGGTTCTTCCTGCATTAATTGTTTCTTCTCTGTTGCCTGGATTCACACTTATTGAAGCGGCTTCATGTCCTGACATTATTTCCAGATTTGAAAAGCCAGGTTTTAAAAAGCCAACTGTGCAATAAATCTTCAACTTCAGCCAGAGGAGGCCATTGGAAAATTGGCCTCCTAATTGCATCAAGCTTGAGTGAAGACTTATTCACACCTCATATAAGAGGAAGAAAGAGTATAAATCCATCTTGACACTTCATTAAAAAACCTCAACATTTTTGTATCTGCCTCTTACTTTCTGTGATTACATCAGCTCTCTGTCTCTCTCTGTCTCTGTCTCTGTCTCTCTCTGTCTCTCTCTCTGTCTCTCTCTCTCTCTCTCTGAGTGAGTAAAATCAATCAATCACTGGTAATCTGTTCCCTCTGTCATTTATTAAATGAATATAGGGTAGTTTTGGAAGGGAAGGCACTAGCAGCTTGAGAAGAACAGGAAATGTTGTATGAAGAAGGGTGTTTGAAGGAAACCAGAGATTACAAGAGGGGGAAATGAGAAGGGAGTCCCTTGCAGACATGGAAGACAGCTATGTAAAGGCATAGAGAGGCGCAGAGATGGGAGATAGAATACTGTGAGTTGGAACAGCAAGTAGGCCAATGTGCCTAGACCATAGAATGTATGGAGGGTAGTAATGTGTAAGAAATCTGGAAAGGCAGAAAACATAAGATTATGAAGAATTTTCAATGCAAATTTTTACTGATAAAAGTCTGGTATAAAACATATAAGGAATGGGCACAGATGTGTAATACCAGGGATGATTTTCCAATAGCTAAATGGAGAAAGGAAATGAACAGCTTTCAGAAGAATTTTAAACCACAAATGACCACGTGAAAACATACTCAAATTCTTGAATAATTAGAGAAATACAAACAGAGACAGCTCTGAGCTTTCACCTCACAGTGTAAGTTGGCGAAAATGACAGTGGTAGAAGGGATATATGAAAATAGGCATGCTGATTGGGGAAACTGAAGGACTCCAACCATTCTAGATTTCAAATTGGATTTATGAAAAAAGAAAGTGACTAAATTGTTCTTTTGACCTAGAGATCACACTTCTGTCATGTTTCCTGAAAATTCGAAGAAAAAGATCCAATAGATAACAAAATTATTCATAACATACAAATAATTTTATATTTGTAATTTTAATAATATATATTATTTTATATGTAATGGCAAAAACTTAGGAAAGAAAGTAGGCGCCTATTGATTGGGAAATGACTGAAAAAAACCTCATGGTATACATGAAGTATCATATAATAATAAATGATAAAGATAAAGAAGTAAGAGAAAAGTGGGAAGATATGTATGAACTGATGCAGAATGAAATAAGCAGAACCAAGACAGCAATATACACATACTACAAAAATGTAAAGAAGAGCACTAAAAAGGTTGTCAAATGCTAAGTAGTGTGAAAACCAATGAAGGTGGTGGCGCATAATGGGAAGATGGTGCTGCACTAGGATTTAGAGAAGGCCAGATTGAACACTCTAAAAAATGT